CTAGTTCAAAAGTTACAACCCTTTGAATTTTTCTTCGACATTAGTTTCTAGTCTATGACTTTTTATTGAGAAGTCTGATCGAAAAAGTACGAATTGTTTTGGATTCTACGCAGCAAAATTAATAAGAAAAAGTGTTTTCCCGAGAAACTTTGGTGTAATCGATTTTTGGTAAAAAAGGAAGGTTATACACTGCCTTTTTTTGAGGCCCGAAAAAAAAGTATACAAATACTATGCAAAGTATTCGAATACTAAATATTTGTGAAAGTATTTGAGTTACAAATACAAATACTGCTTCCATAAAAGTATTTAATTACAAAGTATTTGAATACTTTAAAAGATTTTAATACTAAAAAGTATTTACAAAATCAAATACTGCCCTGATCCTTACCTTACTATCCTGCAGCTTTTAATTCTACTGCCCAACTTCTTGTTTAGCATAAACCCTAACCCTGTTTGACCGTTCTCTGTATCTGAGTGTACCCTCTGTACTCCCTGACCAAAAGTCACCCTACTCTTTTCACTTAATTTCACTTACCCCTACAATATTTAAATCTAACCTAACATCTTCCTTTTTAAGTTTTATTATCTGCTTCCTTTCTCTAAACTCCTCACATTCCATGTTCCTACTCCCAGGAGGCGATCCTTAGGCTTCTTTTGCCCACGTGTCCTTGATTCCTATCTATGGAGCTAATTATTATGGTGCCTACGTTGTACCACATAGTGAATTACGGATACATACTGTGAAAATATACAAATCCTTGTTACTGCTAAATAAAACTTCAATCCAACAAAGAATTTAAATATAAATAAAATTCCCAATCACTGAAATAAAATAACCATGATGAGAAAATTTTCACGATAAAGTTTCCTTTTTTGCATAACCCCTGTTCCTATGTGGAAAAATTATAAATTATAAATGAATAAACAATGGTATTAAGTATACAATACAGTTTAGAGTACAGCGCACATGTAGAAAATGTAATAAGTAGAATTACAATAATTTGAAAACATATAGTAAAACTTTCTGTATAGATTCTCCAAAACTTGGAAGCGAAACTTAAACAATACAGTCGAATAAACTTTAGCAAGTGTATAGTATAGAATATTGTTTCATACAATGCTTTTTACAATATAACAGTAAACTTACATTTGCCCAACTGGAGTAATCTATACAATGTGTGTTTACGTGTCTAACGACGATCCGAGTCGATTATTGTATAGGTAACTAACGCGAAATTGAATCATATTACACCCTCCTGTTCGTAGTCTCCAATTCTTTTGCAATCTTCGAACAAATTGGTTTCCTTATTTCATGCTAATCGATCTCTAGCTATAACTGTACACTTGCATGTCCTAGTTTATGAATTTGGAATTTTGAGTTCACTCATATTGTCGATATATAATGGCACATCACCAATTTACTCTCCAGATGATCTCTAATATAATTATAAAAACTGCAAGCCACTTTAACAGAAGTTTAAAAACTTTTCTAATTATGTCCCCATCAAAACTTAATGAGCTTAACGCAAAGTTATACACCTTTATTAAGCAAAATTTCATTGCAAGACATTTATTCATAACGAAACTACTACCTACTGCTTTTCAGAATCGATTGTTATCTTACACTTATTTTTTTAACATTCATAATGAAGATTTAATTTGTCTACAAAGCTGCGAAAGACAAAAAGTAATGCATACTGTAACGGTAGCACTAATTTTGGTTTTACTTGTTTTAAAGGCATAAGATTCGTAAGTGAAATTAACATGCCATTTGTACATTTGTACGTCTTTTAATTTTTGTGGCCATTGTCTTCTTACTGGGGTTCCGGAATTTGTACGCTTCAGTGGGGCGGAGATAAAAGAGGTAATGAAGTCAGAAGGAAAAAATTGAGAACGTGAACAGTGATCATTGTAACATTGCAAATTAAACACAATTCCCATGTATGGGTTTTTTTAACGACAGCCTCAAGAAAAATGGTTGACTTAATGACAACAAGGAGCCTAAGGTGTTCGTTAATTAGGCAAGAATAAGTTTTTTTTTCTGAAAAAATTCGGGTTTTGGCTGCAGGACCACGATCAGTGTGTGATCCAAAATCCCTTTTGGGCACGGGAAGGCGAGATTAAGGTAGAAAATCTTGGAAAAGTTCGGGTTTTATGACAATTGTAGGTATAATTCATATCCGATGTGGAAGTTTGTCACCTCAAGAACGGAAAGTGTGTGAATAATTGCAAGAGCAGCGTCTGGTTTCGGGAATTCCGGGCAGTATAAAGTATAATTAATCGACCAGCGACCGAACATGTTCGTTAATTCAGTATAAATTCGCGTAGTAATCTGAAAAAGCCAAAGCATTTCCCTTTGAACATAATTTCGAGTATTGGAAAACCAGTGACAGTATTAACTTATTTGCGTTAATGCAAATATTTTCCTGGTGATAGAATAAACACTAAAAAACCACCCGAAATTAAACTCAACAATTAAGTTCCAAGAAAAAAGGAAAAGAAACTGTTTTCCATTATAGAATTGTTACTAATACAAAATTTTGTTTCGTCGTATAAAGCTAGCCGTGGAGAAACCATTAGGAAAATTTCATCGCAAGAAAATTTTTATTTTTATTTTCGATGGGAAAATTCCGATTCAATCAGAAGTTTAAGGGGGGATTACAACCCTTAATAGGCTATACTCCGTTGTGATATTTATCTATAGGACATTCCTAAGCCATCTACCGTCATTTGATACTAAATCGGGCAGATTTCAGTTATAGCGTTGGAATCTGTACTTCGAAATCCTCCTTTAAAAATTAAAACAGGCACAAAACACGTGGATTACTACGGCGTTCTATTTTCTAAGTCAAATTACAGAACTATTCCTGGGGAAAAAGCTCTATACTTCCCCCTATTAATTGTGAAAATGTAAAACGGAGCAAATTCAATTCGATTTTTCCTGTTTTACAGCACTGACGTAAAGGTTTAGAGTCTTCTTCAACCCTACCTCTTGGGGATGGATGCATAAATAGTTATACTATTGTTTGTTACAGGAATGATGAGTACCTAAATGTAATAACGGTAATGTAAAAGAATATTTATTTATGTAAGAACAGGACACAGTAGTACAGCTTAGGGCAGCTGTTACCCTTAACGTAAACCAGCAATAAGTTATAACATACAAGATACGAAGAATAATCGCATAGGATTTTTAGTTTTTTTTGACAAGAAACAGACGAGCGGACAGACGGACGGATAAAACCATGGCATAAAGGGAATTTCTTTTTTTCCAAAAATTTCTCTAAAAATGGGCATAACAAGAACAAAATTGGATTTTTCCAATTAGTTTCTCCGAAAGCACTATATACTTTATTAGTGAATGGTTTATAATTTATGTATTGCTGCCTATCTGTCCGTGTGTACGATAACTTTGTTTAGAAACCTCCGATCCATTACATTGTATCCAATAAGAGTCGGATTTTGTTCAAGGAAACGAAAAATCCTGCAGCCATTGTAAGTCTGTAACCACCCGCGCGTTAATAAGGGAGGTATCACATTGGGGTAAAAAATGGCCCCCTCCGACCCCATTTTTTCCTCATTTGACGCTTATTGAAGGGAATAATTTTGAAATATTTTGTGTCTAAGAATGTGGGTACCAAATTTGGTTCCAATCGGTTCAGCCGTTTAACTGGAAATTTGAGTACAGACAGACCGACGTCATCAAGATTTTGTCTGATTCGAATTCCTGGTGCTTCAAAGCGCGCATTTCCGTCAAAACAGTGGTGGGTCATATTTTACCCCAATTCCATACCCCCCTTACTAACGTGCGGGTAGTACAAACAGAAGAATATAAAGAATTTTATTACGAATCTAATGGAACTGAAAATATAATCTGAAGAATAAGGAGAATTCGAAGAATCAAAACAATCTTAAGAATCTGACGAAGAATTGGAAGAGTCAGATATCAAATAAACCGATGCACCCAAATAATCGAAGGGCGACTAGAAGAAGCCAAAGAAACCAAAGTATTCAATTAAGTTGGAAAATCCGAGGAATGTCTGCTAAAAATAGGGAATATCATTTGAAAAATCAGACAAATTCGAAGAAATGGAAGAATCAAAGACATGTAGATAATTTGTACGTACAATACGAAAAATCTCGGAAGAATAAGAAAAAAAAACAAAAAGTTTCAAAGAAATTGTATAAACAGGAATATAACTAAAGAAACGTTTGAGACAACAAAGGAAAGAGTCTAAAAAAACTAAGACTAAAGAATAGGAAACTAAAAATGGAATGAATCTGAATCATGCAAAGAAATGAAACAAAATGAAACACATAGCGGCAGTCTGACATCAAGTCCCATTTGGCTTTGTGTTTTGCCTGGGTATTTTGAGTTATATTATATCACTTACACTAGATATTGCAAGTGGAACAGCCGGCACTGGTTCACAAAACGCTTGTTTTTGAGACCATTTTGATTAGTTTCTCTGCCGTTTTATTTCTTTTGGCCCACACTCGAGTTCAAGGGAGTTGCTGGCGTTCAAGCATCAGTTTGGAGGTGACTTTGCATTGAGTGTGTGTCTGAAGGGCAGCTCTGCTATTACTGGATATTCTTATTGTGGTCCGCTCGTGTACTTAAGGTAGGTACGCTCGTCTTTGTACATGGTCTAAAAGTGCTTTGGCGATTGCAAGTCTTGTTCTAGGCCACTAGGGAATTGCTCCATAACAATGTGGCACAACAAAATGGCGGTCTCAACCGACCAATAGTATTTGCAATGTGCTGCCACCAGAGGTCTCACTGTTAATCTGAATCGCGAATAAGTTGTGATTGTAATTAAAAAAATCAAGTTAAAAGTCATTACTCGACTATCTTATTGTTTAAAAATTGGCTACGTCTACCTCATACAGGAGATTAACTGGTACGACATATCTGTAATGCGACAGCCTGTATGTATTACACACTCCGTACTCTAATGACTCGCGGTTTGTCTGTAGGAAATTTCAATGTGCTAGTCAGTAAGGTTGGCAATATGTGGTTTTGATTACTTAACCTCTTCATTTTTAAGGTTGAATTCATTTTTAAGGTTGAATATTAAAAATAATGCCTTTAAAAGGGAACCCAACTTGTTTAAAATGTGAAACCAGCGAATCGCCTTTGTGGACCAACGCAGAGAATTTGGGTGCAATTTGTCTAGACTGCATCAACGAAACGAAAGATTCCATCAAGAATGAACTCGAAGAGGAAGAGGAAAAAGACAACTTTCCAAAGTCGCGCAGAAGAACTCGAACAACGCGATCCTACAAGACACGACTTAATCCTCTGGCATTGCCAAAATCAACCACGCCGAAGGGTAGAGGACGACGAGGACATTATAAAAAGACCCCTGTAAAAGCTCCTATAGCCACTTCAACACCTGTAACTAGCGACAGTGTATTTTATAAGGTGTATGCTACAGTAAAGTGTGCAGTAAGTGTAATTATTCGTTGCAGGGATCCTACTTGCAGGTGGGTGATATCGTATCGATGATCGACCAAGAAGGTGACACTTACTATGCACAAATTCGAGGGTTTCTGACCGACCAGTATTGCGAAAAAAGTGCGTGTGTCACTTGGTTGTTACCGACAAAGCATAGCCCTCCTCCTGAAGAAGCGTTCGACCCAGCCACTTACATTATTGGTATTTGTTCTTTTTCAACCGCTAGTCATTCATGTATTCCTATCGTAGGTCCTGAAGAAGATACTCCTCGTGTCTTAGAGTGTATGGAGTTTATTATGCACGCTCCATCTGACTATTACCATGCTAAAAATACACCATATCCGCCTGTTCATGCAACAGGAGATACGGGTTTTATATGGACCCACATGGATCCCATCCAGTTCAGCTAGTTAATATTGCTTTTTTATATCTAAATAAATTTATAAATTATCTTGGACATTTTATTACCTGACCAGTATGCAACACATCATACATTTTATTAAAATGTAAAAAAAAATTAATTATGCACTTTCTCGAGTATTTGTTAATACTAAGAGGTAACAACTAGTAATAATTGAGACTCTGATTTTCTGAAAATCACTTGTGGTTTGCTTTTTGTAATCAGCAAAATCGATTTCCACATATTATTTACAGCTTTATCACTTTTAAAGCAACGCATTTACCTAGTATATTATAAAAGTCAACAATTGCACTCATAATCAGCAGCAGCAATTATTTATATCGCTGTGTGATGACCTGTATAGGTCATGAAAAGTTTGTATTATTACAGTATAAACTGATCAATTTTCTACTGACGCGTCATTTAACTAATAGCGATAAACACCACAACGTTACTTATTAGCTGTAGGTACTTTTAAGAATATGTCACAGTGCCATTTTCGAATTGGTGGGTCTGTGTCTGGTGGTCAGATTTTGATGGTTGTAAATTTTCGCTATCTATGGGGCTATATCTCGCAGTGCCATATTTCGCTGCTCCCCATCCAACCTCTCTCTGACCTTCCGGGGGTGCCTACCCCTACATAACATAATTGGATCTTCTTAGAATATTTTTGCAATATGCTAGAGCGAACGTGAATATTCCAAATAAGTGCTCTAAGAATATTAAGAAACGGATACCGTTCTTTCAGTTAATGTACAGAATTTCCGAAATATATTATATTATATCCTCGTATACAAATACATAGAATATTTAGAATATAAACTGAGAATATTCTGTAAGTTTATTCTTAGAACACCTGAATATTCCCTTTCGCATATCCCTAGTATATCTTACAAGGCACGTACCTATACAGTGATATTCATTTATTATTTTTATTTTATTGCCTTTATTTTATAGTGAGCGGAGTGTTAGCACCTTAGAGGTAGACATAGGAATTTGTGCATTGTTTTCCCTATGACTAGTTTTAAATGACAAAAACCTTCTAAAGGGCGCCTAATTTTATGCAACCAAAATAACTTCTTAAAACGAAGATCTGGCTGTCATATTAATTAATTGGAATATTACTACTTTTGGCTTCCGTAGGTATTTTTATTTTCGTTGGTGTGCGATGTATTAAACTGAAGAAAAATTTGATATTGTCAATTGGTATAGTGGGGGTAACAGTTCACGGAGCGAGGCTCATTTTCTGTGTTGATTACTTTAAAATTAGTGGTTGTTTAAATGCGATCCACATAAGACACCGTAAACAACCCTCAATTTTAACGGTGGATATGAAACTGAATGAACTGAAGAGAAATCTCATAAGAAAGTTAGGGAAATAGCGAACGAATTTGAAATCTTTTCATCATAACCGAAAAGCCTCGCTAAAATCATACTATATTTACTGTGGTTTTTATTAAAATCTAAAATGCGTGGGCATGTTATTTTGATTGCATAAAATTAAGCGACTTTCAGAAGAGTTTTTGTCATTTAAAAGTAGACATAGGAAATCCTTATGTCTACTTCTAAATGAATAACACTGTATATTCTAGACATATTTAATACATGTTCAAATCTACCTATCATTTTGAATATTCCTGGTATATCACAGAAATATTCAATGTTGTCTGGGAGCGCCGGGCATCGATGACGACGTCCTTTCGTTACACCTACTGTTTTCCCTATATGCTTTCACGTGTCGGCGATGTCATTCCAGCTTTGCTTTTCTTTTATCATGAGGTTAATTTATATAGCCCTTTGTAATTTCCTCTCCGATCCTGAGTTCTAGGCATAATGTCCTAAACTTCTTTCGCATTCTAGGACTGCCAATTTCTCTCCCCGCAGCCCTCTGGCATCTCTTCGCTTTGCCTTCCCTTTATTATTTTGTGCAGGTGCGCATTGTTAACCCCATTATCCCGGTTAGGAACTGTGCTAGATGATATCCATTGAAGCACCAGGAATCCCAATCAAACAAAATCTCGATTATGTCGATCGGTCTCTCGTTCTGTCTGTCTGTCTGTACTCTCATTTCCGGCTAAATGGAATCCATCGAACCTAAATTTGGTACACATATTATTACACATATTATGTAGAAGGAAGAGCTGAAAAACTTTTGGACAGAAACGCGCATACGCAAGTGTGTCAAAATAACAAAAAAAGCTGACCTCTTATTTTGGATTTGGGGTCTCCGTTTTGGAGCAATTATTCCACGTTTTGGAGTACATTGACGGTCAGGTGTGGAAGAAAATGAAAAGGATAGGTATGAAACGTTATTGGTACTTTCAAAGCAAGCAAAAAATATCATGAAGAATAAATTTTTTTCATAAATCAATATTTAAAAAAAAATTCCCTCTTGTATGTATATTCCACTTTGAATGAGAAGTCTGATCGAAAAAGTACGAATTGTTTTGGATTCTACGCACCAAAATTAATAAGAAAAAGTGTTTTCCCGAGAAATTTTGGTGCAGTCGATTTTTGGTAAAAAAGGAAGGTTATACACTGCCTTTTTTTGAACTCCGAAAAAAAAATTGTCTCAGATCGACCGGGAAAAAAGATTTTCTTATAGCATGTGGCCTGTAGAATCCATAATTTCAAACAGTTCCAAGAAAAATTGTTTTCCCGAGAAATTTTGTGCAGTCGATTTTTGGTAAAAAAGGAAGGTTATACATTGCCTTTTTTTGAGGCCGGAAAAAAAAAATTGTATGAAATCGACCGGGAAAAAACATTTTCTTATAGAATTTGGCCCGTAGAATCCATAATTTCAAACAGTTTCAAAGATTGGCTACTAGATCAAATGTTACAGGCCTTTAAATTTTTTTCGAAATTGGTTTCTAGTCTACATATTATTTATATTATGTTTATTATTATATATATATATATATATATATATATATATATATATATATAATATTATTATATTATATTATACCCAGAAACTCGTTTGCTATATTTGTTTACACGTTTATTATTTACATCGACAACACTTTCACTATTGTTAATTCGACATTATTAACTATTAAAATAATCGATAATCAATCAAAATGCAGACATTCAAAATATAGTTATAGTGTCTTATTCGGCTTTCCTTTCGTACCGTACTTCGGTCATAGCATTGCTCACAATTACTGTAAGGGGGTCCTGTCCTCGATACATGATCACGTGCCACATTTCGGTTTCAAATTTAATCAGGGTCGGTTTAAATTTGCGAGGAAATATTTTAAGACTTTAAGATTTATGTTAGTCGAGTTCCATATTCAGTCAAAGTTTGAGGAAAAATACGACGGAACATGGAAGGTTTGCGTTGGAGACTACCTTCTCTACCTTGGTTTCAATCCGGACCCCATAATCTACTGCTTCATTTTCTTTTTTGTTAACAATATACCAGTAGCCATTTTTAAGAGCTCCGACCCAGTAGCTTAAAGTTGTGATATGACTTCTGTTACGTAATAAACTCGTTCTTCTCATACTAAAATTTATTATTCCTCCTTTCAAATTATTTATTAGACTACCTACATCGGACGCCAAATTATTACTACTTAACTTAACCTGATTATTATCGGTTAAAGACGTGCATTAGACTTTGGATATAAAAGTGCACAAACGCTGAATTTAAAAGAGTAATTAATTTCTGAATTTCTCAATACCAAATTACAAAATGTAAATCTCGTGTCCATCACAAGTTGAGTGGCATTTAAAAAAAATGTTTCCGTGTTGATCTTATTTCCGTGTCGTGTGAAGATAGTGTAGAACCTGGGATTTGCGTAACATTACAACTTCCTTCTTTTTGTAGACAATGGGAAAGTAAGCTTCAGCTTTAAGAAAGTTCATATGTTGCTTAAAAATGGGAACAAATACTGGAAATTTCCTGTAGGTGCCCAATGCTACATTATGGATATGTATGTACCGTTTTGCTATTCGACAGTCATCAATTTTGCAGGAGACAGTACAAACAAACGGCACTTTCTGTAGGTATAGTTGAGGAAAAACTAAAGATATTCACGAAAACGAGGTAAATGCGACCTCTTAATCACGTCATTTACTAGTATGTCACGTCAGTATGACGGACCAATTAGGTCATATTTCGGCGAGGTGGTTAAATTGACGACCTTTTAACGTCATTCTTTACTAGCTGGAGGACTTACGCTCTACCGACGAAGTACGCAGTTGGTGTCAGGTAATAGAGCGTCCGAATACAAAGCACTGAAATTAACACGTGGTTAACGATATCCTAGAGCTAGAAGTGATTGTTGTTAAATTCGTATAACATGACTGCCACCGTTCGATTCAAGAACTACAACTTCGTACAGTCCAATTACGCACACGCATAGTAAATATAAATATATTACACGCAATAGATTCTTTCAAATCAATAATCACATTATATTCCGTGCTCTCTGTAGCACGGAATTGCTAACTTCCTTTTAGAGTAATTTGGAAATTGAATTAGTAGCCTAGTTCCTCTTTCGGTAATGAAATTGTCGTTTGCCCCTTATTCTGTTATTGGTATTGGTTACAGAATGAGCTTAGAGCCGATACTAAACTGAAGTGACGATTTGAGTGTACTTGATTTATTAGCTCAAATGTATTCACCTGCGAGGTTTTTCTTATTGAGGTCGCCCTTCCACTGGGCGGTTGTCAATGTCGATGACTGTGAAGGTGTATAAGACGCGCATATTGGGAGTAGTGCAGCGCGTAATTAGATTGGAAACCTCGGTTCGTGGGTAATTGGAGTATTGTGAAAAAAACTGATCTTGAAGTTGGCAAAATGTGGAGGGTTGATAGCGCACGACAGGGTGGTGCACTAGCGCAGACTGCGCGGCTCGGCCACGTATCGAGCGATGTTGAGCAGTCCGCGCCCGGCCTCGCTGCGGCAATGACCCACCGTTTGAAGCTATGACCCACCGCGTTGCGCTCTTGTGCGCGCTACTAGCGCTATCGCTTGGCTGTGCTGCGCACCGGCCCGTCGACTACGATGTCCATTATGACAATTATACGAGGAACTTTACGAATACCAGCAACGTACACAAAGGGGATCCTCTTTTTCCTACTGAACTGTTCACCGAGGAGCAACTTCGGCAGGGAGCCATCGTTTTACACATTTTGGGATTGGTCTACATGTTTGTCGCGTTGGCGATCGTGTGCGACGAATTTTTCGTACCTGCTCTGGATGTCATCATCGAGAAGCTGGAAATTCAGGACGACGTGGCGGGTGCAACCTTCATGGCTGCTGGTGGATCCGCGCCTGAGCTTTTTACAAGCGTAATCGGAGTGTTTGTATCGTTTGATGATGTGGGTATCGGTACTATCGTAGGGTCAGCCGTATTTAATATTCTATTTGTTATCGGCATGTGCGCAATTTTTTCAAAAACTGTGCTCAATTTGACCTGGTGGCCCTTGTTCAGAGACTGTTTCTTTTACTCTCTTAGTCTCATTACGCTTATTATTTTCTTTAGAGACAATGTTATTGAGTGGTACGAAGCGCTCGTGTTGTTTCTTTTTTATATTTTATATGTCAGTTTTATGAAATGGAATCAACCCATGGAGCGACTAGTAAAGAAAGTTATATATAAGAACAAGGTGACCCGAGTTCGCAGTACAGATCAACTAATGCCTACAGTAAGTAGATATTTAATTATGCTTTCTGAACATAGCAAGCATAGATGTTTTATCAATATCCAAATGGAAATTTCTTGAAATATAGTTTTTATGTACACAACGCGTTTTATACAAAACGGAAAATCGATGACGAACCTACACGCAATTACCAAAATCGGTATAAGAATGGCAGACTTTCAACGCTGTGGGGATAAAGAGATAAATATTCACGTTACACAAACGATTCTCCCCCATAAAAGTGCGCGAAGGGTTCCAAATGGCGTTAGGATCAAATCATTTGCATACCTCCCAAATACCACGCTAATACACTCACCTTTTAACGCTCTCTAAAAAAACGTGGACGATCCTCGAACAAGTGAAAAATTAACCCTCTAGTTGAAGTTGAAACTTCCCTTGGGAAATCAATCTCACTATATATCGATGTCAAGGGCGCAGCATTATTTAGCCTCAATAAATTGGTTTGTCAATTGTTTCAACTCGTCATACAATTTCCCAGTTTGGGATTTCTCTGTCAAATTCATATCACACAAACGTTTCAGTCTTGACCAACGTGTGCGAAACTAACATTTTAACCCCATTGTTCAATTTTATGCTTAATGGGTAGGGGTGGAGTAAGTTGGGAAGTGCCTACTTTATGTATCTACCTACGATGTGTAAATGATTTGGCTTTTTCTTAAAAGATGATTAATGATACCTTTTGCTTATGAATGTAAAGTACCCCTTTCATTTATGTACAGAATCCGGAGATGCGCTCCAATTTTTTCAGTTTCATTAAAACTTGTGTAATTAGTGGCTTCGTGTTGTACCTTTTTTGAAGTTGTAACAAATCCACAGAAACAATTTGAAAACCGCGACTTTCCAGGGCGTTGGAGATAAATGCATTTACAGAGGATACAAGTTATGTAATACCTACTACATGCATTACACCCCCCTCTTCCTACACCGAATCACATCAAGAATTTTCTTAGACGCCAGAATAAAATTGTAAATTTCGTTTTAGTTAGCAATACTATTGTGAGCTGACCGACTTACATTGAATTCAAAACTATAACTAATTCCAAGTTAAAATTCGAATTGAAGCTGAAAGTGAGTTTTAAAATTGGAGCTTAAAGCAAACTTTGAAATTGAAGCTTGAAATCAGTCAAAAATTGAACGTTAAGGTTTGTAACATTCCATTGTCAATTTTATTTGATGTTAAAGCTTTAAGTTAAAACATCAAATTGAAACTAAAATTTCAAGATTATAAAGATGAAATTTGAATCCAAATGTTCTGTTTGAAATGGCACCATGAAATTTGAAGCTTGAAGTTGGGATTTGCATTTTAAGCTTAACATTGCAATTCGATAATGACGCTTGGAATTGTAGCCAAAAGCAAAATTTGAGATGCGAGTGAGAAGATAATGCTTAAATGTGAAATGTGCAGCATGAAGTTGTTCGTTGAATTACATACTCGAAGATGACGCTGAATATTGAATATTGGAGCTAAAATTCTGAGTTGGAGTTCAAGAAGCTTGAAGTTCGAAATTGAAGATCAAGTTTAATACTTGAATACACACGAATTGGTGACCCAAAATTACAGTTGAAAGTTGAAGCTTGAAGTTGAAGCAAAAGTTTGAAGTTAATTGAAGCTCAAAATTTCAAGTTAAAACTTTTTTACCAAAATTTAATTTTCCAAAGTGTGGTTGACTTTTTACGAGAGGAAACAGCCTAATGGACAAATACGCTCGTAAATGGAACGTACGCGTTGCTATAAAACAACTAACAACCTTTTGTGTTTTACCCTTGTTTTTAGTAATTATCCAACTTTGTAACTATGAATGCTAGTGTAGTAGTGTTGGCTTAATTCTGTACAGCTCCATAACATTGGCCAGTTTTGGCAGTATACTTTGTTTCGAAAAGATCATCGCGCGGTTAAAAAGTTTCCCACTAAAGAGGGAAAAGTGCGTGGTAATGGGAGCACTAACGAAATGATTTGTGCCAATCGTTAGTGCTTGATTGTGCACGAAACATTAACCCAGCGTAATCAGGGCCACTGCCCAGTAAAAGCTCTCCTTACTCGTGCAGGAAGCATTTCGTGTATCAGTTGAGTTACAAGTGGTTTTCCCTTATTTCGACCACGCTGAATCCGATTCTGCCTGTTGCCAAGTTTGAAAATGGACCAGATAAGATGTAGTCCAATATGGCGACTGTCGTATTCTGTCTAAAATGACAGATTTACACAGTTAAAATATCTGAACCAACGTTTTTGAGGTCAAGGAACACGATGGAAGGGTCAAAAATGGGACCGGAGGTGAAAAACCTTGCTTATTTTTGCTAGTGAAGAAGAACCCCGATATTCACGCCGACACACCTCTACTTTGCCTGAGCTTACCCTGCGGTTGAGATTAATTTCCTGTCCAAGAGGAAGGCAAGAATCTAATGATGCTACTTATACTCAAGCCATAGTGAGAATTTTGGCAGTATTAGAGCCTAAGAATTCGGACATTGACTTGCGATACCGCAGAACGTGCGTACATTTCCTTCCAATACGAATTCAAGCTCTGAAGTCGCTCAAAGAGGGTCCGAACTCATAGAGCATTATGAGAAAAGTGGTAACATTGCCGAATGTTGGCGATATTTCGGCTTAAACATGAAAAATCGTGGTTTTCCACGCCCGGTGACATTTTTGACCCTTTCATTGTGCTCCTTGACCCAAGAAAAGGTAGAACAATTAAAATATTTTGCACCATTTCGGCTCAAATATGAAAAATCACGTTTCTACCCTAACCCGATATCTGATCTATTTTTTTTCCATTCCATTGTGTTCCTTGACCCCAAAAATATATGCCCCCATACCAGAATCTTAAAATTCAGAGCGTTCTGAAGATATGTAGGTAGAAAAAACGGAATTTTTAACACCATTTGGGTCCTAATGGCAACCTTACATATTTAAATAATAGCTTATGAGTATTAATCTGTGTGAGTACCAATGGTTGTTAACCCTACAGTGGGCGTTAGAGGACTCTTGCTCCGCACCATTGATTGTTTTGCAATTCAAAGACTGTTTAGACCCCCATCGCTGTTATACCCCTGTTACCTTCTGACAAAATCAGTGTTACCAGTCCGCTCGTTAAGTGTTGAACGAGGTGTTGAATGTATCCAAAGCCCCTCTTGTTAAATGAAAATAAATATACTTTTTATATTATTTTAAACTTAATTTATTTATTTTTGGAATGTACATTATTCCTTTATTTGTAATAAACTTCCAAAAATGTAAGATTTTTTGTAAAAACTTTTATAGTAATATTAATTCTTATTTTTACATATAAAAATATATATAATATAATTATTATTCAGAAAAAGAAAGATTCATTTCAAAACATTCAAATTAAGGGCAAAGTTCATTACTGTAGCAATGCCTCAGTCTGCTCTTCCACTTAACCAAATCGGGTCATGTATAACCCCTGCGGGGCATGAGCCCGCAGCGACCACTTGTGTCCCAAAAAGTACCGAGCACTGTAGGATTAACGCTTGGGATTCTGAATCTAACTCGATTTGAGAGTAGGCCTGCGAAAGATCAACTTTTGAAAATCCTTTACCATTACACAACTTAGCAGACAGTTCTTCTATCCGTGGTATAGGATAAGGTTTCTCTTGCCATGATGGGTTCAGAGTGACTTTATAGTCACCACAAAGTGTAATTGATCCATATTTTTTAGAATTGAAACTACAGGCGTTCCCCATTCTAACCTTCTAAAATGTTGGACTGGCAGTTATATAACATTCGTCGAAAATAAAAAAAAATACCTCTGAACTCTGGTTATAACAACCTCGTGAGCTCAGAAGGGCTCAGAAGGTTGAATTTTCCGCAACATGGCGAGTGGGTGTAGTTGAAGCTCAATTGTCGCCACTGCCTTATATAGGGACTTTAAACTAAACGGGTTTACAAAGTAAATTACCTAGATGGTGTAAGAATTTAAATGAGAGTGTATTAAAATTGTAAGACAAAAACGTGTCACACTGTATATAAATATGCTCTGGCTAGCTGGCAGTCAGTAATCCTCTTCTGGAAACTGTTCATATTTTTTTACAATACATATATGGTAAACAAACTTTGCATTGATAGTAAATACTTGAACTTTGCACGGACCGGCTACAGAATCATAGTTACACCGTTTCTTGCTTTCTTCTCGGAAATGCTGCGAAAATCTTCGTCCGCAGCGAAAATCTTCGTCCGCAGCCGCAAGGTGGCTTCATGGTGATGATCGCTCTTGGCTAGGGAATGCAATACCGGGATCGCGGGATCCCGAAATACCGGGATCCCACAGCATTTTTGCAGGATTAATCCCGCACATAAATGGAGCGGGATCCCGCGGGATTTGCGGGACTGAGGAATTTGTCGACCAAGGGGACGACTCTGTTTGCTTTAATGAAACGCATAATGGAGAAATTATTTTTAAAATAATTGTTAAACTTTTTCCGTTAAAAATGTACTTTGATTTTTGAGGCACTTTATAAGTTCACCTTTTTGTGCTTTACAGGTGATTTTTTTGAGATCTAAGTTAGACTGAAGGTACTTTTTGTTCAATATTGTTATCAGGATTGTTATCATTAGCGATTTAGTTTAATACAGAAGTTAACCGCACAAAATTGCTTATTTGCCAATTTATTTAAAATTTTGCGGGATCCCGCAAATACCGGGATCCCGCGGGATTAACATCTAAGGATCCCGCAAATACCGGGATTGAGATTTTGCTGCGGGATTGCATTCCCTAGGTACAACCAGCTCGTTGATATACGAGTAGACAGGCAGCTATGGTTGGCTATGTGTGCGGATATCATGGACCCACTACTTCTTGGTGCATTTATACACGTTGGCCGTCTCCAGGGCCGGCCCAAATGGTGAGGCAGAGAAGCGGTCGCCTCAGGCGGCACATTTTTAGGGGCGGCAAATCGGCAATATTACGAGAAAACGCACATCAAATTGGTTGTTTGTTTTTTGCATGCCTACTTATTTATTTACAAAAATAGGAAGAGAATATAAAGAAACCAGATAGTAAGTGGAATTGCTTTACAATGTCAATGTACTCGGTACGTGTACGTGACGTTACTCATCAGGGGCCCGGTCTCAGCGGCGCTGAGTCGGCGTAGGCGTACCTCTCCCCACTCCCCTAAACGGTGAAAATGAAGTTTATGTGCTTCTATCTCATTTGTATTTTGCTTGTGTACGTGACAGAGTGACAGACGGTGACGCAGTTTACATTACAATCCACGATAATTTGCCAGCAAATAATTAACGTAAGATAATAATTTATCTACAATCTACTTATTACATATCCTTACGCTTACCAGTTTCTTACGTATGCGTATGTATTTCGTATTTCGTTGAATTCCCGAATTAAAGTTATAAAAATAACTCACATTGTTTTAGAAGCCGCTGGCGCATTATAAAAGTAAATATGAGCGATGCGAAAAGGAAAAGGCTTTCTGGTAGCCAATATAAAAAAAAGAGGCTGGCAAAGGAAAACGAGCAGCGTAAACTTTCTGGTGCGCTTGAAAAGTTTGTGATTCCTTCAGCTTCAGCTTCTACTTCATTAGCTGAAATTACGAATACAGAGCGAGACGAAAAAGTTGGAGCAGAAGCCAGTTTAGAGGGACCCGGTGAATGTGAAGGTGATCGTGATAATGATTATACTGACCAAATTTGCAATACCATTGAACTCGTTCGCAATACGTCCCCCAGGAAAGACGAAGATGACAGCACGGAAGTATTAAACTTCGAGGTAGACAGTGACCCAGCATCTTGGCAAAACTTATCTGTGGGCCAGCATCAAATTATAATAGAACAAGGCCCCATACAGATAAAGGGGACAGCTTTCCCTAAAGATGAATCTGGTAGGCATTTTTCTGAATCACATTATTTTCGCATAATGTCTAATGGAGAAAAGGTAGAGCGAAAATGGTTAATATACTCTGTACGAACAGATGCAGTGTATTGTTTCTGTTGTAAGTTGTTTAACAATCCTGACGTAAATGCAACAACTTGGTCAAGAGGCTACAAAGACTGGAAGAATATTTCCAGGAGCGTGAAATCCCATGAAATTTCTCGAATACATATGGAATGTTATAAAAAATGGAAAGAAATGGACACGAGACTAAAATATGCTCGAACGATTGATGAAGAACATCAGAAGATTTTGAATCTAGAGCGACAGCATTGGCGCGATATTTTACAAAGAATTATTGCCGTTATTCAACTGTGTGGATCACAGATGTTAGCACTTCGTGGCTCTTCGGACAAGATATTCCACCCAAATAATGGAAATTTTTTAAAGATAATGGAACTACTTGCAAAATTTGACTCCGTTACAAGAGATCACTTGAGAAGAGCTTCAAATCATTCAAGAGGTACTCATTATTTGGGCAAAACGGTACAAAATGAAGTAATAAGTCTGTTAGGAAAAAAAGTTCGAGATACAATATTGGAAAAAATAAAACTTGCAAAATACTATAGCATTATATTAGATTGTACTCCCGACGTAAGCAAGACAGAACAAATGTCTTTAGTTATCCGTATTGTGTCAAACGAAAATGGGGAATACAAGCCGAAAGAATATTTTATAAATTTTCTACCCGTAATTAATTGTAATCAACAAGTGGTGCTGGACTTACTGAGGTATTATTAAACGAATTAAATAGATTAGGTCTTGAAGTTGGAAATATTCGTGGCCAAGGATACGACAATGGAGCCAACATGAAGGGGGTACATTCTGGTGTCCAAAGAAGAATTTTAAATGAAAATCCGAAAGCCTTTTTTGTTCCCTGTTCCTGTCACTCCTTAAATCTAGTTGTGAACGATGCCGCAAAGAACACTGGAGAAATTTCAAATTATTTTTGTCAGGTACAAGAATTATTTGTATTCTTTTCGGGGTCAACTCAAAGGTGGAGTGTACTTCAAAAACATATTTCATCCCTAACAATAAAAAGCGTAAGTGACACAAGATGGGAAAGTCGCATCAACGCTATCAAGCCATTAAGATACCAATTAGGAGAAATATATGACGCACTTGTGGAAATTTCTTTGGATGAACAAAAAGATGCAGACACAAGAAACAAGAGTAAGTCACTGGCACATATAATTTCCAATTATAAGTTCATTGCAGCACAGTTGTGTGGTATGATGTCTTATTCAAAATAAATGTAGCATCAAAACTGCTACAAAGTGCAGACATGGTTCTTAGTGAAACTATAAACATTATGAAAAATATAACCCTGTTTTTAAAGGACTATCGCTTAAACGGTTTTAACAAGATGCTGTGTAGTGGTACGGAAATTGCTGAAGACATGGAAGTTTCCCCTACATTTGTAGTTGATAGATCGCTTAGAATTCGGCGAAAAACTCGGTTATTTGACTATGAAGGGAGGGATTGTGTAATAGAAGATCCCACAAAACAGTTTGAAGTAGAATTTTACAATAGGCTATTAGATATTGCATTAATTCTGTGGAAGAAAGATTTGTGCAATTGAAAGCCCATAGTAAACTGTTTGAGTTTCTTTATAACATTCCAGGATTAACAGCAATGGAACCAAATGATGTGCTTAACAAATGTCAAGATTTACACAAACAAATATCCGACGACATCGACCCAAATGACCTTTGTAATGAACTTCTTCTATTGAAAGATATATTAAGTCACAAGAACATGAACCCATTGGAAATTCTAAATCATTTGGAAAAAAATGGATTATCTGAAAATTTTCCAAACGTGGTAGTATCACTTAGAATCCTTTTAACAATTCCAGTTTCGGTTGCATCTGGGGAGCGATCTTTTTCTAAGCTAAAACTAATAAAAAGTTATTTACGCTCGACTATGTTACAGGATAGATTAACGGATCTCGCAATCCTTACTATTGAGCATGAAATTTGCGCAATGATAAAATATGACGATATTATCGATATATTTGCAAAAGAAAAATGTCGAAAAGTAACATTATGATTTATCTCCGTTTTTGTTTAATGTTACAATAAATTTATATTATGTCCATATTTATTTTTTTGCATTAAATCAAAACTTCTATCTATATATTGCACTCAAAGAATTACTTCTTTGTGGAAATGTACAAGCAACACTCTTAAAATTATAGGTAAGTAGGTACATGAGGCGGCAAAATGCTAGTCGCCTCAGGCGCCACTTTTGCTTGGGCCGGCCCTGGCCGTCTCGCTAGAGCTTCCTGGTTGAGTCCTAGGGAATGTTAGTAGTAGATAAGAATTGCAGTGTGATACGGGTATGTCACATCTGGACTGTGCGGTACTTCGCCATAGTAAAGATGGGGCCGAAAACCCTGCCCCGTGGCACTCCTACCTCTATGCTCCTAAAGCTGGAGTACGAGCCGTCCTGTTTCACCCTGAACAGGAAGACCCTTCTTTGTCTCCATCATTTTCAATTATGTCAGCGTGTGTGTAGGTGTACTTGGACCACACCACAGTCGAGTGTCCACTTCGAAAACGGAATGTGATCCGGTATATGACAACGTTCAGTAAGGGTTCTCTTTAGTTTTTCATGTAGACCCTGGGTATTTCTTCCAAGTGATTGGCGAGGAGCTCTGGTTTGTCCTGATCGCCCAATGCCGACCTTCCGGCACTTCTGATACACCTACAATTTGATATTTTATTCAATATCAAATAATTCACAACTAACTAATGTCAAGTATTCAAATCCAGTTTAATACAACTATTTTCGCTTTCATACAGAAGATCTGATCTTTGACTATATTTGCCACTGCTGTATATGTCACTAACGTTTCTTGAACGCGCCTATTCTTGAGGACAACGAATGCGACCAGAGTCTCTCCATGTCTCTGAATGCGACTCATGTGTTTGATTTATAGAAAGTTTGAGGTTATGTTTATATTTTCCTGTTTTCTGTTTAACTTTTTAATTTGAATATGAACATTTATTAAATGAAAATATGTTTGAAGAATTAACCATTTGGGCAGGTCGCTGCGCTAACGACATTGTCACACCGATCATTTAAAGTATCTGTTATTAACTCTGCAAATATGGATAATCCCGAGTTAGAAGACATAGCTGTATTTTGCTTCCTATGTAAAAAGGGTAACATCTCCTTGGTTGATATTCGCTATAAAACCGACCGTAATAGTGTAAAGGAAAACCTGATGGAGTTGTACGGAGATGCTGTATGTCGATTTACATGCACTACAATTTTACTTATGTACTCCTTTCAGGTGGAGACCTACTTGGGGTGTGTCGACTTGGTATGCTGGAATTGTGCGCACATTGTTGAGAGTATGGCATTTTTGAAAAGGCATCTCTACGAAGTTATCGTCGATCACCACGTTAGTGTACAGGTACACGATAAACCGGGAACACGAGTGTTTGACGTATCGAGCACATGGTCGTACTTAAATTTCGATAATCCGCCCGACTCTGCTGCATCGCCTAATGATCTGTTAATGGTGACCGGCTCAATACCGTACGTGGAAAGGTGCGACAACTTTGAGACCAATTTCCACCGATACAGATACGACACACCCGCCTTAGATCGTGAAGTACAACGTGTTACATCTAGAAGCCGGTCTCGACGGAAAGGCCATAACTGGACCCGTAAAAAAGGCAGCCAAAACAGACACAACTCGCTTCATTCACGAACATTGAGCCGCTATTCTTACACGAGCAGAGGTAGTAAAACAAGTAGGGTTACCGCGGTTAGTGGTACTTCTCGAACAAGCGCAAGCAGCAGAAAGAAACATTTACAAGATTCCCTAAAGAAATATTTGGGAAGCGCCGTTGGTGACCTTTTCTATCGTAATGCTTCATTAAGTAGGTTCTCTCGCGAGTATTTAAAGAAAAACTATCTAAAGGAGAGTGCAGACCTTTACGAACTAGACGATATAGTGCCGGAAAATAGTTTGTCCATAAGAACGAGGTTTGCTACGAAAATACGCAATGAGTTAATGTTTGAATATAACCAGCTAATATACGAGTGTCCACACAGTGAGTGCGGTTTTACTGAATTTAATATCGAAAAATTGACTACCCATAGAGTGGAGGTGCATAAGGAAATGGCAATGTTTTTATGCGAACAGTGCAATTTTTATTACATATCTCAGTAAGTATGTAGGTACTGGCTCCTATGAGTAGCATAAGACAAACCCAAGAGCAAACCTTATGCTTCATTGTACTATTTTTTTTTAGCACAGGCATCAGTCATTATTGCCTTGATGACACACCTATGGCATTAAATGATTATGTAATGCAAGTCCTAATGTGTTGATTTGTTTTCAGGAAGGACTTGGATAAGCACATAGACGTACACTTTAAAACTTTCCTGGCCTACTGCATATACTGTTGGGCGGAATACAGAAACAAACGCTCATACGAGGCACATTTGAATGAGCACCTACTGTACTCCTATCCCTGTAGTTATTGTGATAAATTTTTTCTTTCAAAGAAGCAAAAGGAAATTCACGTAAAGGTGGACCATTCGGATCCGGACAAGCGTGTTCGAAAACCTAAACGGCAGTTAATATTAGATAGAATAGATAAAGTTATAGAAACAGAAAGTGATTGTGAACAAAGAGAAAGTACAAATCAATCTTCCGAATTTGTTGTTAAAATATTGTGCCAACATGGTAACGAAGAGGAAGCGAGGGCAGTTGAGGACAATTTCGAAGAAACTGACATGGTGATAGATACCTCATTAAACTTAGAAACAGAGACAATCAATTTTGATGACATTATGTCATAACAGTGTCTTTATTCGGATTGCCTAGTTTTTGCCTATTATTTTATATTTATGTAAAAATCGAGCAGGTTTTGTAAAGATTATATCATGTACTGATAATTTTTCCAAATGTATCTCATTTCTTTTAAGTTTTTTAAGACCTTTACAAAAACAATTATTTTTATGCCAAAGTATTATAATAATAGTTGTATTTTATCCAATGTTGGGAGCCGAATTGTTTATTGTAAATTACTGTATCTATACTGTACATTCAAGTTTTAAAAAATAATATTAAATGCTTTTGTACATAACTTGCAATGTGTAACATACTACACATAATTATACTACAGTAACATCTTGTTAATAAAGTTTGTATGAAATATTTGCGTAAAAATAAGTTTCTGTTTATGCAACAATAATTAACCACAATGATCAATGCTCACTGCAATCTATGGTGCAACCTTTGAATAAAGAAGAGGTGAGAGCGAACTAAAGTAATCAACTTTGCCACTAATCGGAATATTGAGTAGACTACCAGGCAGGTATACCTATTGTTGTTATCCAGTTAGTGCTTGATCTGCCTTCACATATGCTTATTTAGCTTATTTATCAACAGTATGCATAAATTCCAATTTTTATTGTCTAGGGCAGTTTCACTAATGATATTCTTATAAAATATCTATAGATTTATCGAAATACGGGGTGGGTCATTAGTGGGTTTTTTTATGCACTAAGTATTTTAATTTTTTTGTGGGGGCATGTTTGAGTCGGTACAGGGACCTGATTGAAAACTGCCTCTAAGAATACTAATAATTATCACAAGATTAATTTAAACACAATTTGCAAATTTCTGTACACTTTACTTCGCTTTAACAAACTGAAATTGAAAGTCATAAATGCCAATAGATTCCTTTAGGTCAGTATCGTATTCCACCCACTCTTTTTCAGACAAATCGATGTCGGTATACAATTTACCACTTTCCATTCTTGCAATCCAACCATCTTTCGGATCAAAATCAATGGGCTCAATGCCACGACAATCAAAAGTAACAATTGTTTGAAACTTATCAGGCGTTCTGCTACAAAACTTGCCTAAAATGTTACTTGTACCAAACGTACATGTTTTACATACACTACCATTGCTATCCTTGACAATGTCTAACGAATTTTCCCTTCCACATAATTTGCATTTCGCCACGAAGTTGTTCTCTTGGTGTTTATTGTGCGATTGAGTTACTTCGGATTCCGAGACGTCGTGCCATTTATCCGAGCATTCCCCACAATTAAGGCACTTGATTTTTAAATAAAAACTAAAGTGGGGATGAGAAGTATATATTTCTTCTATAAATTCCAACGTGGCTTTTATTTGCAAGAGAATTTTTACCATTTTCGTATTTTCTAGCAATATTTGAGGTTATGTGGTAACTGTCTGTCATTACGAAACAAAATAAATACACAGGATGCATCTTATTTATAAGTACAGGGGGCGCCGTAGCAACAGAATTAACTAAAGTCACTAGATATAGAAAGTACCGCAATCATCCGCCATTTTTGGGCAAATTTGCTGCCAACTTAAAAAAATTGACAAATAAAATCTGAATAGCTGTAGTTTTTTATAACCTAACTTTATAGTACTGTCATGTTTTACAAAAATATATACAGATATCTCCAAACAGGTGGAACAATCCCTAACATTAAAGTTACTAGAATCTGGTAACTTCCGCCATTTTTGGGCAAAAATCATGCGTTCTCTCTCTAACACACGAGCCCAATGGATTGCGGTACTTTCTATATTTAGTAACTTTAAGAATTAACTAAAGCTCTTTGACTACAATAATAATATTGCCATTATTATTAAAAAAAAAACAAAGATTTATTCCAGTACATTAAAATTAAGAGCGAAGTTCAGCACTGCGACAATGCCACAGTCTGCTCTTCCATTTAACCCCATTACTACATGTATTACTAGATGAGAAAAAAAAGTATTCAACTAAACAATAAAAAAAAAGAAAGAAGAGGTACTTACTTTAAAACCATTAGATCTTACTACGCCAACAAATCATTATTTTGCATTATTTACCCATTGATTGCTAGGCCACCTTTCATTAACGAAAGCAACTTCGGTTTGAAGCAACTAGTTCACATACTTTTCAGAATAGCCGGTAGCTGTTTATAGTGAGTAAGATGCTCAACCTATTTCTATCTTTTGGTTTAAACAAAACTGTCTTTGAGAACACGCGTCAGGATTCATGTATAGATAATATTTTTACTAACCTCGATTCTCACAAATACAATGTAAAAGTCCTGCAACCAGATCTCTCAGACCATAGTGCCCTCATGATCACTTACACCACAGTTGTACCGGAGGATACATCTTCCAAAGAACGCATTATCTACAAGCCAATTACACACATGGGACTACCCAAGCTTTATAACACCTTGGAACAATAACAGACTGGTCATTCATTTCCAGTACTAACAAAACTGTAAATCACAAGTTTGCTTCATTTATTGACATTATCACAAAAGCATGTGACATGTCTTTTGGAAGCAAATCTAAAGTAAGTGCTCGTAACAACAGACAGTCATACAAAGTACACTGGTTTAACCATCATATAAGAAAAAGGAGAGAGGTTCTTCATTTTCTAACATTTTTAAACAAGCAAAACTCAAACATCGTCAGCAACGAGACATTAAAGGATTACAGGAGGATCTACAGAGCTGAAATTAACAAGTACAAAAAACAGGCTAATGATAACCACATGAAGAAATCTTCCAACACTCAAAAAGCTGCATGGGACATAATACAGAACTACAACCCAGTAAAACAAAGACAAATTCCAAACACTCTGACAGCTGACATATTTAACTCTTTCTTTAGTGATGTGGGTACTAACGTAGTGAACAATTTACCACAAACTAGTGTGAATCCTTTAAAATTCCTTGAAAACTTCAATATTCCTGGAAACCTAAATTTCTCATTTAGGGAAATAACGTACAATGAAATACGAGAAATTATTTCAAAACTAAAAAATACCTTGAGTAGGGACCCATACAACCTCAATTTAAAAATCGTCAAAACGGTGCAAAATATAATAATTTATCCCCTTTGTAAACTCATCAACCAGTCTGTGAACGAAGGCATATTTCCTGATTGCCTAAAAATTGCAAAAGTGGTTCCAGTCCATAAAACAGGTCCCAGAGATGAGGTATCAAACTATAGACCAATCTCCATCATCCCAATTTTTGGTAAAATTTTTGAAGCGGCGATGAAAAAACAAATACAGCAGTATTTTGAAGAGAACAACCTATTCAGCACTTGTCAATTTGGCTTCCGCAATGGCAGGTCAACTACTACAGCCATAAATTACTTGCTACAGTTTGTGAAGCAGGGGTTTGAATCTAAACGAGTCTCACAAATGTCTCTCTTTGACCTAACAAAGGCATTTGACTGTGTGAGCCACGAGTTACTGATCAAGAAACTTGCGAAGTATAAATTCGATGCGACCAGTATAGCACTAATTCGTTCGTATCTCAATGATCGTACCCAATATGTTACACTTAACTCACTTAAATCCAAGAATGCAGCCGTGAAGATGGGTGTTCCTCAAGGATCTGTATTGGGGCCCATCCTATTTCTTGTTTTCATTAATGACCTGTCATCACTTTCAACAGCACCACATCAGTACCTAACTCTTTTGCCGACGATACCACCGCCCTTACTACAGCCGACAGCAAGGAACTCCTGAGTAAATCATCTGAGAAGCTACTGTCAGGAATAACCCAGTGGTTCACGAGCAATGGTCTAAGTACTAATGAACTGAAAAATCAATCCCTGCTACTGGGCCTCCATGATACAGATAAATCTCCCCCAGTGAAACTGTTAGGTATATATATCGATGGCAAGCTGACGTGGGCAGAGCACGCCTTGTACCTGTCCAGTAAACTGTCTAAAATGAACTACATTATAAGAAATCTAAAGCCTAGAGTAACAAAGCAGGTCTTACTACAAGCATACTATGGGTACATCCACTCCACATTAAGCTACGCAGTACTGTGTTGGGGACATTCCGTCCATGCAGCTAAAGTGTTTTCCGTCCAGCGCAAGTGCATAAGAATCATTGACAACCGCAAATATAGATTGTTGCAGAACATCCTTCACCAAACTTAACATCCTTACACTCCCATGTATATATATATATTTACCTGTCTAACACACGCAAAGAAGGCCCTTCCAACCCTTCGTAAAAACAGTGATAAATGTCATTACAATGTACGGACTAAAAACAACCTTGTCGAAGACTACTATCGGACGGTAAAAGGACGAGACATTAACTATTTCATGAAGAAATGTTACAATGCTCTTCCTGACTACATCAGGGATCTGGAAGAACAACAATTCAGAAAAACAATCAGAGTGTTCTTTGGTGCCAAAGCATTCTATAGCATCGATGAGTACTTGAACTACAAGTTTGATGGCTCCGAATAATAAAGTGGCAATTGTGCTTCCCTATACTGTAACGTGTGGAAATATTTTCTGTATAAACCCCACCAATAAAAATATTATTATTATAAACTTTTGCTATGTTGTAAGTGAATGATCTTTTGAAATACTCCGTATTGTGAGTCGGTGGCGTTGACATCCCTTTATATCTTAAATTTAACGTATGGACATCTGTCCGAAACGATATTTTTTGGACAATAGTCAACGGCTTGTGTGCGGAAGCGGAATACTATTTACCACAACAATCTCTTAAAATCAGTAACCAACTAATTGAATGTGAAAAGTAAATAATCTTTATAATATGCTAATCAACTACTTACTGTATCATGTATTCAACCAATACTAATCAGTTAATAGAAACTGATGATAATATTTCATATACAGATGGTTAATCGAATAACGTAATAAGTAGTGGAATGTATTATTTAAAAAAATGCATTACTGTTTCTTAATTCGTACAGTTTGTGAAAGTTCCAATGGTATCAAGTCTTGGAGACACTATAACCATTGTGGTTATTGAAGTCATGCAATTTCAAAAAATAACAAATAATAAGTTGAAATAGACATATGGTTGTTCTTACAAACATATATTTAATTAAATATCTATACATTATACACGTAATTTACAGTAACTAGAACTAGACTTCCTTCGGCATGCAATAATGAACAACTTTCATACAAAACCCTCCAGTGGACCAGTTGTTAAAAATGCCCTAATTCCTATATTATAGATCATTCCTGTGAGAAGCTAAAATACTTACAGAAGCCAACCAGAAACAAATAAAAGTACTACCTACTAAAGTAAATAATTGTGCAGTTTTGTGTACATAAAAACAAAACCAGTAATCTAAACCTGTTTTAAAATGATTGGCCACCATTTGACGATAAGAACTAATGAGTTTCGGTTTAATCTGAACATAAACCTATTTACTGTCTATCCAATTCATAGTCTTTCATGAAATACAATTTTTTAATACTGAATTTTGTTTAATAAATCAAGTCTTATGTCATTTGTAAGGCCTAATACTGTTTGCGTCGAAAGGCCTCCCACTTCTTGATAAAAATGTGGTTATGCAAAGAAAAATTAATGCTAACTTGATAATTTAAGGTACCTAAATGATAAATAAATAAAATTAACTAAACATCTTATTAAAGCCTGTTTGTAATGTTCAATTTTTACATACCTTTCATATTAGCTAATAGAGTTACTAAAATAAACAAGCATTCAGTACATAGTTTCAAGTTCGACTACATATACGCATGGCCTTGACATTTCTTGCAATATAATTGTCCAGATCACTCAGGAACGAGCTACTCACTGTCAACATTTTCAGTGTGTTAAGCATCACCCACCAGCCACGTCCACGTAACTAAATAATTGATAGTTACAAACAAGCTTAAAAATGAATTAGTAAAACGTTATGTGCTGATGATGCAGTAGAATAAGTTTGAGTAATACAAACATGCCCGTGATATTAACTTAATATTGAGTTAGTATTGAAACAATTTTAAATTGAACGATCTCTAACCACGGACATTAGTAAAAGTTAATCAGGTAAGGAGATCAGTGTGCATCAACAAGTGAATGTAGTTGATTTCACTTGATGTACATTGTTCTTACCTGATTAATTTTTTCTAATTGAGTTAGTAGTTAATGCAGCCACCAATTTTGCCCCCCAACACAAACAGCATTCTAAATGAGCATTTTTCAAAATAGATAATTTTGGCCTCATACTTAGTAACAAAATAAATATTTTTTAAATAAAAGCAAAATAATCAACAAGGGGTAGGTCATCTACGTTACCTTTTTTGTGTAATTTACATTTTTCTTTCGTTAGATTGTTATGCAATAGACAGAAAGTACAAGTATTACCCTGAACAGCCTGTATGGAGAATGGCAGCTCTAAACAGGTAACGCAACTGTTGTAATTGCCAATTAATGAGCTTGTCAATGACATTCACTCTAACAATTACCTTTGGCTCCCTCCTTACAAAGAAAAGGAGTTCCGTGACTTACCCAGAACAATAAACATTTTTATGGAATGTATTCACACTGACAAATTTGAAATGTGTATAACTAACATTTATGATGTGTTTCACAAAACTTTGAGCCATTTGCGTGTTCCAAATCCCAACACGTTAACAAGAAAGAAAGACGTGTGTAACCGGAATATCAACACACATAATATGCAGTCATATTGATAATAAGAGAAATAAAATTAGTAAAAAAATAAAAGTCGCTCCTGGTGGCTGGCACTCAATAAATGCCAACCTCTTTTAATACTCAGGTACTGTACGATGGCACGTATGCAAATGATCAATCCTAAAATGAGAAACATAAAGAATGCTACTATACACGTTTAAAGGACCTTACCAAAAACCATGACGAGCCACCACAACCATCCATTTTCACGAGTGCCAAAGTCTGTAGAGTGTTTTACAATTAAAGTCCACTTTGCTAAAGATATACCAAAACCGGATAATGCGCCATACCTCGCCGCGATTGTATTACAAAAGCATGTCACCAAAAGAAAACCGATCCAATTGAAAATAAAAGCCACTAACAAAAACACAATTACTCGAACATTTGGGCAACAGTAAACTCACCGAAGAACGCAGTATAAAACATAAAATCGGTACCTAAAAGTGATGTATCGACGTCATCATTTGCCTCGGAGTCTATTGCTAATAATTGACCTAAAGTTCTGGGCTCTCTCACCTGCGTTAAATTTGTGAATGTTAGCGATACACCGTGACAATACTCACACGTGGCACTTCACCAAGAGCCGCCGGAATCGCTTGCCCCTCTAAAATTTTCTCGCGTTGTACCTCCTCGTACGATGGTAGCTTTGTAGCGAGCTCGTACGGCGGAGGGGCCGAAAAGTCCGGTTTGGGCGGAGGAATGTCATCTGCACTGCCACTTGGTAATAATGCGGGGATTGGATTGATTTCGTCGGAATGCACTACTTGTGATTGTCCCTGTTTGAGTTTTACAGTTAGTGCTATGGTAAGTTTTGGAATGATTTATTACCAGCTCAGTTTCGTATTGGACGTTTAGTCGTGGAAGGACGCCTGGAACTCGTTCCATTTTTGAGTTAGTAAAAAGGAGCTTCTAAATTTCTGGCTTTCACTGAATAAGTATTTTCATTTCGATTCCGACCCAAATTTATTGGTTGACAAGTGACAGGTATTTTCACTCAGATTGATAACAGTTATTTCCGATAGATGTCGTAATCTCGTGAAAAACAATGCGATGTTGCGCATTTTCTAAATAAATCCCAGAATACACTTCTATCAACAACATGCATGTATTATTATTTTTTAATCTTAGATGCGGTATTCTACGTTAGTTTCTGTACCGCGGCCTCGGGGTCTATTGTGACTTCTAGCTTTACTGTGTCTCACAAAGTCCAAAACATTCGATCCCCTGTTAAAATCACTCAATTAGGTTATAGGTATAACCCTAAAGCCACACCTACTGAGTTTCAACCTTTGATTATATTATAATCAAAGGTTTCAACAGGTTCTCAGTCTTCTTTCTGTAGGGTAGGTACCCCTAGTAGAGCTTCGGCTTGTTGCTGATCAAAGGTATTCTTCCAGGTACTTCTTATGAAATTCTTTTCAAATGGACACCATTTCTTTTTCCACAAAATATTGTTTGATAATGCCTTAAAAAGTGTACCAGCTATTGTCTTTAATTTTAAATGATATGTGCTGTACTGTACATGTGTACAAACTTGGAATTGTGAAATCCCGACTAGATCCCATAACAATAATTTTATGTAGGCCATAAGTCCCAGATTATTTTAAAATTCCAAATCACACATTTTTATAGTTTGCGCTATTTCAGTCGCTTTCCTTAGCTGCCTGTATTTCCTGAATCATGAATGTTTGCCAAATTTGCGATAACCATATGCGTTTTGGTCACAATAATTTTAGCAAATTTTTTAAATTTTTTCTCCACTTGTTTTGAAAGAAATTCTAAAATGTGTATTTAGCAATAAAGAATCTTGATTCGTGTGGAACCACATGTGATAGTGGTTATATTCCAAAAACTCCCAAAATCGGTCTAAAATTTTTTCCTCGGGAAACTGGGAGAATATTTTTATAAAATTCCAAGATAGCCGTAACTCGTAAATCCAAAAACTCCAAACTCCATGCAGATTTTAAGAAAATTCTGCGCGGAATTTTATAAAACTTTAGAGATTCTAGAAGTATTTTAACAGAGAGTTGTAAGAGGATAGTAAGCGTCTAAAATAATTCTCAGATGTCTCCACTCATTCTAAGAGCAGACTAAAAAGATGAAAATGGTTCTGAATGTCTTGGTTTTAGAAGTTCTGGAGCTCGTACGGTGATCTTCGGAAAATGACACAAGTCCCTGAAGTAGGGTTTCTAAGCTGCCGAGAGATTGGATGAAAATTGTGGAACTTAAGATTCAGAATAGATTTTAAGGAGATTGTAAGGAGAATCTAAGACAATTCTAATAATTCAGATGGATCTATGAAAATTCTAAGAAAATTCTACATGGATTTTAAGAAGATTTCAAAATTATTCTAAGAACATCCTAGGTATCTGAATGTTGTAAACATTCTGTAGAGATTCAAAACAATATTTTAAAAAGATGTTCTCATAGAATTTTGAAATTTTTCTAAGAAGATAGTCGTCTATACTTGAAGATGTGGCCTTAACTTGCAATATACTTTTTAGTATATTATTTATTATTTCTTTTATTTCCTTGTCTAAGGTTGTAGTAAATATACGGTTTATCTCGTTTATTGTGAATATTCTAATTTCTAAGCAATCCCACCTTTATAAATCAGTAGCAGGTCTTAAAAGCCCGAATAATTACTGGTGTTCGGTGTTCCGTTCCGTGTTTAAGAATCCGAGCATAATTAGTAATTACCACTAGAATTAAGAGGAGAAATTGGTGGAACACTCTTATCTGCCGTACTGGGTAACACGTTTAAGGTCATGAAAAGTGGCCGGGAACATTTCATTCAATATTTATTAATACCATCTGTGTAAGGTGGAGAGACGTAAAATTGGCCTTGTAAAAATACCCTTCTAAAAATACGGTTTGCAAACACTAAAAAAAATTAAGAGTAAACTAACAATTCGCCAACAAATAACTGTTTGTTTCTCTGACTGGTTGAAAGCAATAAATTATAAATTATACAACGGATCGGGTTTCCCTGCGTTATCCCTTAGTTTGCTTTTAAAAACGAGACGATCAGCATCTCAAAGAACGGTTTATGACACGTAGCATTTCAATGCGCAAAAAAACATGTGGGTGCATCTTTATAATTTCCTATTGTAACCCGATGATTTTGTTTTAGTAATTCTTCCTTGTTGACAGTGTAAAGTTGTGTACCAGTGTACCTACTGTCATTGTTTAAATAAAGTATTTAAACAATGCTACTGTGTAATGTCATTATTTAAATACTTTTTTAAACAATGGTAATGTCAAGTGTGTAGTGGTTTGTGAACATTTCGTATGGAATAATTTTCATTGGGTATGTAATGTACTTACCTACTACCTCTAAGAAATTAATGGAAACATCAATTTTCTATAAACTTCTATCTCTGATGTCCTTTTAAAATTTTCCTAGTTTCTCTAGTAGTCTTGCGGTTCGCAACTTTCAAAGTTGATCATCAGGCAAGTAATAAAAAAAATTTGATTTTCTAAAAAAGAGAAGGCGAAGGAATAATCAATTTTTTTGTAATTGCTTGCCTGATTGATCAACTTCAAAGGTAGAGGACCTATTTTTCTGAAAAAGAGACGAAAAAATAATATAGATACACTATCAACGATGATCTTTACAACAGGAAATTATATGTGTGTTTCTGTTTGTAGAAAAATTATTAATTTTATATAAGAACCTGGAGAAGAACACTTCTGTCATCTGTGAAATTTTCAAAGGATATTTTAGAGGTTCACTCTAATCTGCCTTGGGTGAAGTGCTTCTTTGTTTCACAAATAAGTTTCAAAAGTTTTTCCAGCTTGTTGTAGACTTGTAGTACTTAATTGCTCGAGTAATTGCTACAAATTTATTTTGTATTTGGAGAGAAAATTGTCCCCTTTTAGCCTCTCCATCTGCTAACTTTTTTACTTTACGAAGGTATTCCATAACTTGAAAATGTTTTTTAATAAGTTTTCACCTTGTTCTTGTTATCACCTCGGTTACAACGAATGTTGTAGAAGTCTCTTTCCCCCGGTTTTTGTAGGGTAGATCCGCCCTTTTAGCTTCGCTTTTAAGCTTTTCATTTCGCGTTTTCCTAGTTCCCTGGTTATTTTTAAAATGGGGTCCGTTCCCTTAGTGGGGTAGTTAGGGCTACGTAAACGCTAAACTGCCCTAATTAAACTTTATAATTACTTAGTACGTTGATTATGCTTATACCTACTATACGCTCTCTTTGCGTCTCCGTTGCCTCTCATTCTAATTTGTTCTTACAAAAATGTTCCTTATTTTCAAAATGAATCTTTAAAAGATTCCACTCTTGACCCTATCCCATTGATTATTACTTATAGAATATATAATTTTTCTATTATTTTTGGAAATTAAATTCACCTCCGAGTAGGTTCTATATCTGTTAAATTTATTTTTAGAAAAGTGTTTTTGAAATTAATTTTTCACTGTTTCTAGTTTATCACAAGAATTAATGTTGAAGATTCAATGGTTGAAGGTAGAATTTTTCCACTGTCTTTGAGGCGGAGATGCGTTCTCAGCTTCTCGATGCATGACTGACATGATGGCTCAGAGTGCCAGACCGCTTTTAATAAAAGTGCGCCTAAATTAGTAAATTACTTGAAATAATCAGTCCAAGAAATCATCCATTTCAACTTATCACTACACTCAATTTTTTAAAAATTTGATTTAAACACAGCTCTACAGTTCTAAATAGGCTTTTAAAAAAACATCTTCATAATTACTTTTAAAAATCAAAATACTAATAGAAAATTTATAAAAATTCGAATGTTGTGAATGTTTAGGTTGTAGGTAGGTATGCGCATTGTGCAACTACATTATCTACTTACCAGGGCCGGACTGGCCCGGGCCGCTAGGCCGCCCAAGCGGCCGGGGCCCCGCGCCAGCGGGGACCCTGGACGGGGCCCTCGTGGAACCGCGAAGCGGAGCCTCCGTCGCGGGGCCCCGCTAAGCGCTAACCTAGCTAACTCGAGGCTTCGCCATGTGGGGGTCTTTTGGTCATGGAGCGTCCGGGGCCCTTACCCACCCAGTCCGGCCCTGCTACTTACAAAGTTCGGAGTGTAGTTCTAGTTAAAATTAATTCCAGAATTGCGATTGTTAATTCAGAGGTAAAAATTTTCCCCGATAAGAACACGGCAATGTACGAGTAAAATCATTTTAATTGTAGCAATTCGAATTTGAGGAAACAATTTAGGTAATTTTCAGTTTTTCGTGTAGGTATTAATTATCAGAGACCGTCAAATTGATCGAAATTTTAGTCTAGTACTTGTCTAGTAGGTACTAAACTGCCCAAAAATCCAATCTCCCAAGGGGGCTAAGAAGTATGTAGGAAATTGGACGAAATTAGATGAAATTTTGGGGAAATATGAGGAAATTTTGGGGAAATTTCAAAGGAATGGGAGATGATAGGGAAATATCAGGACATTTTGAGGAAATAAAAGGAAATTCCGGGGTAGCGGAGTGAAGGGGCTGAAAGTGAAAACGCTGCCTTGTTCAAGGTTTCAATTGCGAACCAATTGTGAAGGTCAAGGATGACGTCCAGATATTCTACCAAATTTAACCTGTTGAAGATGTATGGGTTTGCCATATGCATTGTACCTGTACATAAAGGACGAAGTAATGTGTAATAATGATTATGTAATAGCGGGGTTCGAATTTCAACGATTTAAGGTCCCATGTTATTGGTAGGGACTAGGTAGGGGACGTAAACTATAGTAACCTCTAGTCCGCTATTTTTCTTATCTAAAAAGCTTAGCAAATGCAATATTCGAATATACCTCGTACAGAAATTGACGGATTTATCACAATGTAGCAAAAAGTAACACGTGTTGGCTTTATTTGAAGTTTCCGACCGTATCGTCTTCAGATAAGAGAACTGATACCTACCAGCGTTTATATACCTAACTGTAGTGACTTTATCAACTTGAACTTTGAAAGCTTGCAACAATGTTGAGCCCCGTAATCCTTATAAACTTCTTCAACTTGAAATTTCTACTAAT